GAAGCAGTCATTGTCCACATCAACCCGAGGAGATTTAGCCGCATCAGGACCACTAGGTACCAACATCCACTCATCAACTGCATCAAGCACATCCTCCATGTTCACATCTTCTTGGGGCTTGTGATCGAACATCTCCTCTACAGGCTCATCCCTCAGAGAGGCTCCCACTTCTTGGGTGAGATGATCGCAAAAGCTGCTCACAGAACCGAACTCCTTCCAGAAGCGCTCCCTGCTTGTCACGAGATGGATGCGATGTGCCTTCAGGCAGGTTTGCTGCTGCAGTTGCTGATGGACATGGGACAATGTCTCGGTTTGGCACCATCCTTTGTCCTCAACACCAGCATCAACGGCAAGATCCACCTTGCTGCGAACCACAAAGCAGCGAATCCCTGCGTAGCGGATGGCGGCCAAGAGGTTGTCGTCACCTTCAGACCATCGACCATCAGTCACGATGCAAATGGCATCGAAGTACTTCAGGCCCATGTTGCAGAGGTAGGTAATGGACGGAATCTTTGCAGTTCCTTGCCCCGGTAGATCCCACAAAGAGACTTGACCAAGGATGGCTAGTGGAAATCGGGTGGGCAGAAGAGTGCCATCTCCTTCCATAGAGATTTGGGGCATCTGGTCCTGAGGCAAATCCACACTGAAATGCTTCAGGATGGCCTTGATCAAAGAACTCTTACCAGTTCCTGAATCCCCCAGCATGGCCACGTTCACAAATGGTTCTCGAGCAACATCAGCAGGCAATCCTTTAGGAAGTCTGGGATTGGATAGTCTCGCTTCAGCCTTCGCCACTTCTCAAGCTTGGCCTTGTGTGCCTTGTCGCGCTGTCTCTGAAGCTCTTGGGCCAAGTGCTCTTCAGCTTCACGAGCTTGTTGTTCCAACTGCGCGCGAGCTCTTGCACCATCCCTCTTTCGTTCCTCTTGTTCTTTCTGCAAGCGCTGCACCGCAGCTGCCTTTTCTTCAGCATGGAGTATTTCAACTCTACGCAAAGCTTCTTGGTGCCTCTGCTCGTTCTTGGCCTGCTCTTGCTCCAAAAGCCGGATCTCCGCTGCGTTCTCCTCTTGAATCTTGCACAAAGCGCCTAGATGCTTTTGATGGTTTTCCTCACTCATCCTCCGCTGCTCTTCCATTTGCTGTCGAAGAACTTCCATCTTCTCTTGGGTTTGTCGAGCAAGCTCTTTGGACTCCGTGTCCTCTTGGTAGTGATGAATCTCCCGGGTTTCTGTGCCACCCATGTGGTCCGTGCTCCTGTGCTGTTCAGCGAGATCAAAGCGTGCTTGGGCCGAAATCTTCTGCGAAAATCCACTCAGGAGAAAACCTCCCGAACAAGGCACTGCAAGCTCGAGCCGGATGCTTCCGGCTTTTCCAAGTCACACGAGTTGGTGAAGTATGTTGCACCCCAAGCAAAAAAAAACACTGCAGGCCTCAAGGTCGGTCGTTGACGGTGCTCCTAGCAAACAAAAACATTGGGAGATAGCAGTTGGGTTGCACTGGTTAAGACTGTGCGCTCTAGGTGTAGCTTTAGTCCCTTGGAATCTTCAACAGCCAGTGAAAGGTGGCTCAATGGATCCTGAAATGTTAACCTACCTGCAATACAACTCATAAGTCAATCAAACCAAAACATGGGCGGATGGTGAGGACCGCAGGGACAGCGTCTGAGCTTGATATCTTCATTGTGGCACAATGAAATGAGGGGATGAACGCGTTACACATTCATCACACAGCAAAACTATCGGAACACATGATTGGATGCCCCAGGCTCGGACAGCACTCACAAAGGTAAAATGGCACCTGGAACCAACGGGTCTCTGTCTCAAAGATCGGTTTTGACTCGCACTTTGCTTAGAGACCGTACGCAGAACAAGAAAAGCATTACAAACCAGAGCTTCCCAGTGCAGCGTAGCTTTCCTCCGATGCCATATTCTGGCTCTCAGCAAAAGCCAAGGACACGCCAGGACAGTATGAGACATGGTGTGAAAGATAGTTCTTGATGGAACGTCTGGATGTGAATCCCAGGTCTGCAATGCCATAAGCAACACTAAGAAAAAAACGTGGAAAATGCTGCATCCAAACAAAATCCGACAGCCCAGGAACGATTTGGAACAGTTTCCAATCTCACCACGGGAAACTGTCTAAACAGATGATCATAGTACTCAGTGAAGCTTGGCGAGGGGTCAGATGTGTCAAGACAGAAAAAAAAAGACATCCTCTTTGTAGGAGATCGCTTCCAAAAAAAAGCCCCTTGAGTGCGGAGGCGAGCCGAGGCTCTTGCGGGACCCATGTCCAGTAAAATTGATATGTCTAAGATTATTTGTGAACTCTTGTGGTCGTTTGGTAGGCTTGAAGCTCACCTTCCCGGTGCTGTTGTGGTTCATGGCCATGCTGCAAATTCAGATGGGGAAAAGAACCTATAGATCGACACATCCATCGATATAAAAGTTGAGCAGGAACAGATGATGCTGGAATGATTCAAGGCCCATAGAAGACTGGTGAATGAATCATCCATCTTGATCATTTATCAAGTTATCAAAACAAACTCAACCAAGCCTTCAGACCCCATCCCTTCTTCAACTGCCAGTCTCGCAAGTCATGACGGACATGTACCTCGAATGCACTCCTTGACCATCATCTCGTAGCCAACAAGTGCTGGAAGCCGCTGGCCTGCAAAATCACTTTCACAAGACTCCTGCCTCATCAACATGGCGCCATCACTTGCGTGTTGGGGCACACGATGGCTCTGATGCATTCCCTGATAAAACGCGTGTTCATCTGGCCAGTTTCCGCCAGCGTCTGGGATACGATGCACGGCATCATGATGCGAAGATCCCTTGTCGCAGCTTGCTGCCCTTGACAAAAACGAGAGGCCCTGCATGTGCGATTTTTGCGACCACTTGGCTTCACAGT